ACTCTATTAATGTAGAGAGTATGTTAATTCAATTCAATAGACATTTAAGCACCTACTATTTACAAAGCACTGTGCAAGGTATTCTGTTCAACAATCCAATAGATATTTACTTAAATGTCCATTATGTGCAAGACCCTACATGAAAGCTCTAAACTGAAGATGATTTCTGCATGGGATGTAGGAAATACAGACAAAACTGAAGGAGTACCTTAAAGAGTGTGGAGGAAGAGACCTTAGAAATCACATAACACAACTATTAAATTTTACAGATGAGGAAACTGAGGTCCAAAGACTTACCTAACGTTGTTTTATGTATACGTGTACACACACACACACACACACACACACACACACATGTATACAGTATTAGTACTTAGATCTCTTGATTCTTAGGCCAATACTCTTTGGGTTTCAAAACCCAAAACCCAATCCCCCCTACTCCCTGATTCCTTATTCCCATTCCCCTCAACCTTTCCACTCCAAAGTTTCAACCAAACATCACTGTTTGCCATTCCACTGTTGCCATCTGGAATGCCTGTTCCATTGGCAACAAAATTCCCTTTCTCTTGAATCTTTTTCCTTTTCCACTCCTTCCACCTACTATTACTGAAACCTGGCTCCCCTCTGATGGCACTGCCTCCCTGGCTACCCTTTCTAGTACTGGCTACATCTTCACTCATTCTCCCTAGCTCACTGACGGAGGTGTGGGGGTTAGAATACTCCTTGTTCCTCACTACCACTTCCAGATTCTCCCCCTACCTCCATCACTCAGTCACCTCTCCACCTTTGAGATTCATTCTATTCATATCTACTACCCAGATCTCAGGACTACTACAGATCCTCAGGACACTCTCATTACTTCCTCAATGAGTTCCACACCTGGCTCACAATTTTTTTCTCCTCCCCAATTCCAGTCCTCATATTAGGGAACTTCAACATAGGTACTGATTCTCCGTAAAACATCCTAACCACTCAGTTCCTCAACTTCTCATGAGTTATATCTCCAACTCACTTTAGTCATGCCCAAAGCTGACCATATCTTTGATTTTGTCTTCACCAATAAATGTACCAACTCTATGTTCAAGAATCCTTAAATCCCTTTATCCAACCATCATCTAATGGCTTTCTGTCTCTCCCTCTACCTTCCCTTACAAAACCATACTCTTTGTCCTCACTGTGACCTCTAATCCCTTCACCTCTCAACTGTCTCCCAGTCCATCACTCCTGCATTAACCACTCTCTCTTCTTTTCTCCATCTTGACCCCTTGGTGAGCCAATTCAACTCTACACTGTCCTCCACTCTTGAATCCCTAGCACTCTTATAATTTCCCTAATTGTATCCAGCTAAGTTTCAGCTTCATATCAATTCCTCAAAAAGACTGTGTACAATAGGTGCTTACACTTTCTCTCCTCCTACTCTCTTCTTAACCTTTTAAAATCTGGCTTCTGACTTTATTTCACCAAAATTGCTCTCTCCAAAGTTACTAATTATCTCTTAGTTGCTGAATGGTGTTTTCTCTTTCCTCATTCTTCTTGACCTTTATGCAGCCTTTGACATTGTCGATCACTTTCTTCTCCTTCATACTCTCTTCTCTCCAGTTTTTTGGGATACTTGTCTCTTTTGGTTCTCATCTTACCTATCAGACTGCTCCTTCTCAGTCTCCTCTGCTAAATCCTCATCCAGATCATGCCCTTTAACTATAGGTGTCCCTCAGGGTTCAGTCCTGGGTCCTCTTTTCTTCCCTCTCTATAGTAATTCACTTGGCAATTTTATCAGTACCCATAGATTTAATTACCATCTATCTCTATGTTCATGATTCTCAATTCTATCTATCTTCCCCAACCTCTCTGTTGACCTCAATTGCCTTTCAGACATTTCAAACTGGATATCCAGTAGACATCTTAAACTTAATTATATCTAAAACAGAACTCATTATTTTTCCCCTTAAACTTCCTCCCCTCCTACCTTCCCTATTACCGTAGAAGGCAACACTATTCTTCCAGTCCCTCAGGTTCACAATCTAGAAAGCATCCTGGATTCCTCACTATCTCTCATTCCCTATAATCCAATCTGTTGCCACAGCCTGCTGATTTCACCTTTGTAACATCTCTCAAATATGCCCATTTCTCTCTTCTGACACTGTCAACACTTTACTACAGGTATCATCACTTCATACCTGGACTAGTGCTATGATACTGTATTACTGCTGGTCGGTCTGCCTGCCTTGTCTCTCTCCACTCCAATCTGACCTTATCCTTATTCTTATTCTAATCCCTATCCTATCCAGCTATTAAAGTGATTTTCCTAAAGCACAGGTCCAATCAAGCCATCCTGATTGATTTTATAGTACAGTATTTCCTCATTGTATCCTATAAACATAAGAATCTTCTTAAAGTGATTCTAAACTCATTTCAAAATTTTTTTTGTTTTCAATGCCATTGATATTATACTTTTCCCTAATATCATGGCACATATAGATAATTTACATGGTATTGACAAGACAAAGAAGATTCAGAAATAAGAATCTTTGTTATAAATTCCCACAATTATAGGGCAGCTCTCCCATCTGAGCCCTTCTCTTCACTCACCCAGCTGACTCCTCTCTGATTCTCATCAACGACACTCCATCTCCCATCTTCATGCCTTTGCACTGCCATCCCCCATGTCCAGAATTCACTCTCTCCATGTCATCTGCTATAGAGAGTTCCCTCTTGCTCTTGAATGCTCAGGCTCTATCTTCTGTATGAAGCCTTACCTGATCCCTCCAACTGCTAGTGTTCTCTATCTCAAACTAACTTATATTGAACTACACTGCATATATTTGATTTACCTTATAGTCATACTGTATATATACACATTTTTGTATGTACTTATCTTGCTCATTTTGTTTCACAGTGTCTAGCATAGTGACTGACATGTGGTGGCTAGGTGGCAGAGCAGATAGAGTGCCAGGTCCGGAGTCAGGAAGACTCGTCTATCTGAATTCAGATCTGGCTTCAGACACTAACTTTTTGACCCTGGGCAAGTCACTAAACCCTGTCTGTCTCAGTTTTCTCATCTGTAAAATGAGCTGTAGAAGGAAATGGTAAATCACTCCAGTATCTTTTCCAGGAAGCCTAAATTGGGTCACGAAGAGTCAAACATGACCAAAAACAACTGAAGAATAATAACAACAATAACAAGAAGAACAAATACTTGCTGATTGATTGCTGATTGACACTGTATAAATCACTTAATCTCTTCAGAACTCAGATTCTTTATTTGTAAAAAGAAATGACTGGCCTGGATGATTTCTAAAGTCTCTTGAAGGTCTAACATTCTAGTAACTTCTTTTATGGATTATAGATTTGTCTTAATTATAGATAAGATAAAAAAATCACTTATTAACATTTAAATGCTAACTCTTTAAAGACATTACTTTCACTGACATTTCTTTCAGAACTCAGCATGACAATTATAGTGGTTCACACTAAAGGTAATATGCCACCAATGAATTCTACAAAGAAAAAATTTTTGGCCTATAATTTGGAAGTGTGTATAATAATCTTAGCCATTTTATTAGGTTTTTGAGATTAATGAGATTTTTTTTTTCAGCTCTTTTTCACACAACTGACAATTACGCATGATTTACTTGGTTCAAAATATATTCTGGTGATTTCTTAAGTCATGTCCCAAATCTCAAGACCATGACTTCTTCAGTGGTTATATAGTATGCTTCTCACTAAATAAGCGAAACAGCAATGAGCATGACTGAACTATGAGTTATGCTGGCTCTTTAAAACTTTTTCACTTCACTCTTTCAATATGTACCACGAAAGAGATAAGGAATTTATTAGCAGAAGAGAGCAGTTATTCTAGTAAATTTATCATATGGCATCAAAGGCAACTGACTCAAATCTCCTACCATGCTAATTGGAATTACAAGATAATTCATCTTTGTAAAAAGAAACCATAAAGTTGAGGAGTCAAAATTGTGTAAAGTTTTGGAAACTCATAATGAATGTGCTTTATAGCTTAAGAATTTTTAGACAAAGTTAAACTCTTTCTTTGGTGAAACAGCTTCCTCCAAAGACGTTCTAGCTCAGCAAAAGTAAAAATGAGATATTTGGGAACATAGTAAACTTTTACAAATAAACTGCCATATATGACTGACCAGTTTCTCAATACCATCATTTAGATTTTCTAATACACTTACATCCCACTGCAAAAAGGAAAAACAAAACAAAACAAAAGTGAACATTGCCAGTTTTAGAAGTAAATGAATCAGCACTCAAATATATACAGAAGCAAAAATGGCTCTGGAAGTCATCTTGTTTAATGCACATTGGAACAAGAGTCTCTTCTTATCAAATACACCTGAGTCATGTGACCTCTGCATGAAGGCCTTTGGTAAGAGAGGCCATTACTTCCTAAGGCTATATATTCTCCTTGTATAAAGCTCTATTTAAGCTAAACTGAGTCTCAATCTTCTTTTCACCTTCTCCTCATAACCTCAGAAATAATGTGTATAAACATGAATACCTTTGAGATGAAATATAGTTAAAAGAATAGCATAATTTAATTTTTACAGTGTGATGCACAGCAGTAAAAGCTGGAAGGGGACCTAGAAATCATCTAGTCCAATACCATCATTTACAGATGAGCAATAAAATTGAAGCTTGAAGATTTGCTACTTAGAAGTGACCTGCTGAAGGTTACATACTACCTTTGGGTCCTAAATAGCAGAGGCAGAATCTGAACCCAAATCATCTTTAAACATAGTTATATACTATGCCAATTGCCTATATTTTATACACTATCTAATACTCAATTAATAAGGATGATGGCTGTAGTGATGACAACATTTGCAATTACCTTGACTTTTCAGAAAATACCAGATTTAGAGACATTCTTTATAGAAACCTTTCTCTTGCTCATTATCCAAACAAAGTATAAGCAGATTTAAACTCTTAAGACATCTAAAGTTAGGAGAGAGCCCATAATTGATACTAGATCTTACCTTCCATTCTCTTTTCGGCTTGTTTGGCAAAAGTGTCATTTTCTTTCTTTCTTTTTGCAGCTAAGAGTTCTCGCTTTAGCAGTCGGACTTCTTTCTTGAGCTCCTCACTATAAAGACAGAACACATATACATGAGGATAAAGCAATATTGAGAAAGTAAAGTTTTCTTAGAAAAAACGGAACTGTCAGTTAATGTACATCAAACCACTGAAGTAAACAAAGGGATTATAACAATTCACTCATGTTCAATTATAAGGTGGGGAGGTAAAGGAAGTAAGTTTAAAATAAAAAAAACCCCAACAGTTTTTTCATGGAAGCAATATAAAGACACAATACAGAACCAAAGCTTAGGCTCATGTAGAGTGTGGTCAATCCAAATTTCTCAATAAGCAACGATCAATGAATCAAGGGTTTTAAAACACCTACCAAATGCTAAGCATTGTGGATATAAGTACAAAGGATGAAACAATTCCTGCATATACATGTGAGCTTACATTCTAATGGAAGAGGCAGCAAGTACATATAAAATACAGTATGATCATAAAATGAATTAAGAGATCTGGTTCTGTTAGGCCACCTTCTTTCACTCCCCCCCCCCCCGATTCCTCTGATATTTTTAATCTTTTGTTCTTCTAAATGAATTTTATTATTATTTTTTTAGCTCTATAAAAGTTCTTTGATTGCTATGGCACTGAATAAGTAAAATAATTTAGGTAGAATTATCATGTTTGTCATATTGGCTCAGCCTACCCATGAGTAAGTAATATTTCTCCAGCTGTTTATTTATGTGAAAAGTGTTTTGTAATTGTGTTCATACAGTCCCTGGCTTTGTCTTGGCAGGCAGACTTGCAAGTATTTTATAATGTCTGCAGTTATTTTAAATGGAATTTCTTTTTCTAGCTCTTCTTGCTGGGTTTTATTGGTGATAAATAGAGTTGCTGATTGTGCATGTGGGTTTATTTACCTTCTGCAACTTTGCTAAAATTGTTAATTGCTATAATTAGTTTTTCAGTTTTTTCTCTAGGGTTTTCCAAGTATACCATCATATCATCTGCAAAGAGTCATAGTTTTGTTTCCTTTGGAGGAAACAAACTTCATGGAGATGTAGTTTCCCTGATTATCTCTTTTTAATTCAGTCTATTTTTGCTTTTGCTTGGTCTGAGGTCATGATTGCTACCCTTGCCATTTTTACTTCAGCTGAAGCATAACAGATTTACTTTATTCCCTTATTTTAACTAGGTGGGTATCTCTTTGTTTCAAGTATGTTTCTTACAAACAACATATTGTTGGATTCTGGTTTCTAATCTATTCTGCTACCCACTTCCATTTTATGGGTGAGTTCATTCCATTCACATTCACAGTTATGATTACTAATTGTGCATTTCTCGCCATCCTATTTTCTTCTGTTTATCCTTTTCTTTTTCTCTTTCTACCCTGTTCCTCCTCAATAGTCTGTTTAAATTCTGACCACTGCCTCCCTTAATCTGCCTTCAGTTTTATTATGTCCCTTCCTTTTTCTTTGCTCTTCCTCTCCTACTTTCCTGTTGGGTAAATCAGATCGAGTGTGTGAGAGTGTGAGTGTGTGTGTGTGTGTGTGTGTGTGTGTATGTATGTGTAATATATTCTTCCCTCTTTAAACAAATTCAGATGAAAACAAGGTTCAAGCATTGGCTACCCCCAGGCCCCATCATCTTCTTCTCCATAAAAGCTCTTTCTTGCATGTCTCTTTTATGTTAGATAATATTCCTCATTCTTTTCTTTTCTCCTTTTTCCCAGTGCATTTTTCTTTCATACCCATCCATTTTTTTGAGATCTTCCCAACATAATCAACTCTTTCTCATGCTCTAAGTAGAGTCTTTGTAACTGCCCCAATATTGATAAAATTCTTAGGAGTTACATGTATCCTCTTATAGAAAGGTAATAATTTTAACCTCATTGAGTCCCTTATAATTTCTTTTTCATGTTTAAATTTTTATGCTTCTCTTGAGTCCTGTATCTGAAAGTCAAATTTTCTATTCAGCTCTGGTCTTTTCACTTAGAATGCTTGAAAACTCCTCTATTTCATTTACTGTGTTACTGGGTAGCCTACTCAGCCTATTCTTACTTATAATCCTAGTTCCTCTGGCCCTCCAGAATACTATATTCCAAGCCCTCTGCTTCCTTAACATGGTAGCTGCTAAATCTTGTGATATTCTAACTGCTGCTCTATGGTATTTGAATGTTTTTTTTTTTGTTTGTTTGTTTTTTTTCTGATTGCTTGATGTATTTTCTCTTTGACTTTGGAGCTCTAGAATTTGGCTATAATATTCCTAAGAGTTTTTATTTTGATATCTCTTTCAGGAGATTACAGGCAGATTCTTTCAATTTTATTTTACCCTCTGCTTCTACGATATTGGGGCAGTTTTCCTTCATAATTTCTTGAAATATGATTTGTAGGCTCTTTCTTTGTCATGCATTTCAGAGAGTCCAAAAATTCTTAAATTATCTCTCCTTGATCTATTTTCCAGGTCAGTTGTTTTTTTCCAATGAATTATTTCACATTTTCTTCAAATTTTTCATTATTTTGGCTTTGCTTTATTGTTTCTTGATGACTCATGGGGTCATTAGCTTCCACTTGCCCAATCTTAATTTTTAAGGAGTTATTTTCTTCAGTGAACTTCTGTGCCTCTCTTTTTTTCTTTTTTAATTTGGCCTATCCTGCTTTCTAAAGAGTTATTTTCATCAGTGAAATTTTGTACCTATTTTGCCATCTGGCTAATTCTGTTTTTTAAGGTGTTATTTTCATGAATACTTTTTGTGTCTCTTTTGCCAAGCTGTTAATTGTCTTTTCATAATTTTCTTGCATCATTCTCATTTCTTTTCTCAATTTTTCCTCTAACATTCTTATTTGATTTTTAAAACCATTTTTAAAAAGCTCTTCCATGAATTCTTGTTGGCTTGTGTCCAATTCATATTTTTCTTTGAGGCTTATTCAGCCTATTCTATTATAACAGCCTGTACCTGTTTTAACACTGATTTTCTTCTTCTGAGTTTGTATCTTGATCTTCCCTAACTCCATAGTAGCTTTTTATGGCAAGGTTCTTTTCTGTTGTTGTTTGCTCAATTTTTTTTTTCCAGTCTCTTTCTGGACTTTGAACTTTATTTAAAGTTGGGCTTTGTTCCTGGGGTGGGAATGGCACTGTCCCAAGCTTCAGGCTTTTTTTATGCTGCTAGTTTTCAGAGCTAGATCTGGGGACTTGGAAATTTTCAGTGCTTTCAAGGTGGTGTGATCTGGAGAAAGATGTAATCACTGATCTCCTGGTCTGTGTTCTGGTCCTTACTTAGGAAGGGTCCTTGATCCCTTGCAGTTGCAAGGGATGCTGTTAATCAGGGTACCTAATTCTTTGTGATTGAAAGTGATATTGCTTCTTAGGGCTCCTGATCCTTTGAGACTGCAAGTACTTTTCTCTGCCCTGAAACTGTGATTTGGAATAGGGGAGTTGGGCAAATAGTGTCTAGGTCTGTGCCCAGACCTAGCACAGGGGTCCTCTGGAATCTCTTTCTGACCAGTTACCAGATTTCCTTTCCATCTTTGGCTTGAGAGTTCCTGGAGCTGCTGCTGCTGCTGCCACTGTCTCCAAAGACCATAGCTAGTGCTTTTGCTTCATGGGCTCCAGGCCAGCCCTTACCCCAGCGTCACAGACCTCTCCTTGTGATCTCCTACGTTGCCGTGGGCTGGAAAAATGTCTCATTCTAATCTTCTGTTGGCTCTGCAACCCCAGAATTCTATCTGAGGCATTATTTTAAAGTTGTTTGAAGGGTAATGTTGGGAGAGCCCAGCTGTTTCCTCTACTCTGCCATCTTGGCTCCATTTTGTCTTTTAGTGGTTTGTTTTGAATGTATGGGGACTCTAATGGTCCACTATCTTGTGTTTTCTTTGGAGGTCAAGATTTTGCAGCAGAACTCTATGATGTGGTTGGAGTTTCTGATGGTAGACTCAAGTACTGTACCATTGCCGGTTATTCCTCATGCTTGTCTAAGCCAAGATCAGAACTAGATTGTAGACTGGAGGTTCCCTAACTTATTTGGCCTACTGCCCCTTTTTCCAAAGGAAAAAAAAAATTACTCAGTGTCCCTTGGGAATCTATTTTCTTTAACCCTTTAACAGTTTTTCTTTTAAATTTGAGTCATTCAAAAAAAATATAAATTTTTTTTAAAAAAGGATACATCTTACATTTAATAATTTATTGTAAATGTGTTTTTTCCCTGCATTGAAATTTTGATGATGCAATATTGCATCATGTAATCACATAGTACTGTACTGTAAACAAGTTATTACATGCACATATTCCTACCAACGCATGCTGGACTTCCTGACAACACATGACATGCTCGCCTGCCAACACTTGCTTGTTAAGACCTGTCAGGAGATTTGATCACTGATCAGTTATAACTTGCATTTTCTGTGTTTATTTGGAAAATAATGTAATCACGATGACTTTAACTCTGTTACACAACAGATGAAACATATATGAACAGTTTTTCAAAATTTTCTTATCTTATTTTCTTATGCTTACATCGCTCCCTTATTTTTATTCAATGTCCCCCAATTGCATCCCAGGCTACTATTGATGGCCCCCACCCCAATTATTCCAGACCCCCCCAGGGGGCAGCACTGCCCATTTTGGGAACCCGTGTTGGACTTCCATCAACTGATGTCTCAGCTGAGTGACATACTAGTTATAAGTCTTTAAATCTGCATATTCTCGGAGACTCCAAAGCCGCATGTATTGAATAAAGTTTATGGCCTTATTCTTGATGGCATTATAGGCATTCACTAGAAAAAGCTACATGATGACTTCAAGCCTTATTTTTGCGCATTAGTAAGTAGACTTTCAGAATATAATTAAAATGCTCTAACTGTGGCTCTCCTTGAGTCTGTTATGGTGTAATCCCAAACTTCCTGATCCTTGCCAAATTTCTCCTTGAGTGGACTGCTCTCAAAATCTTGACTTTGTTCAAAATGAATCATGGCAGGGAACCGTACACTGAAAATTACCTCTAGAATAGCCTCAGTTTCTCCTTCTGTAAAACGAGGGTTTTTTTATTTAATATTTTTTAAGGTTCCT